GCGTGGCAGTCAGCTGGGGGCTTGCTGAATGCCGATTCTGCCTTCTCGGGTCTGGGATGGAGCCCAGGAGTCTGCTTTTCTAACACTGCCCAGCAGCACCTCCAGGCCGGGTGCACTGCTGGGCCACAGACGCCACCCGAAGAAGCAACAGCACCCAGCACAATCTTCTTGTGCACTGACACACATGAGGTATAGGTCAACATACAGCTTTCCTGGAATCTAGGTGCACAGCTATTTGAGAAGACAAGGGATGAAATTATGCTCCTAGATTTCACTTGCCACATAACCTGACTGGCAGGCCCTATATCTCTTATTTCATTTGCAGTGTGGGAAAGGAAGAGCCTGTTTTGTGAGGTGCTTTGAGTTCTGCAGAGGGAAAAAAAACTGCTTTTAAGGTCAAATTGTACAACAATTTACAAACTACCCCATGCCGAGCACTTAAAAACCTACTTGCTAACTTTAAAATTGGCCTTGTCTGGCACACATTAGGCATATTTCAGAAGGAAAGCTGAGATTGAAAGCACACAGGAAAGGGGGTGATTGAAGCCGTGCCTCACCTTGCCTCTATGTTGAGTGCAAACCCCCACCAAAGCAAGCCCACGTTGACTCCAGCTGGGGTTGAACAGTCAGGGACCGTGGGCTGCACGAGATTTTCACCCTAAGTGCAACCTAACCTATTAGCTTCTTACAGTTTCATAGACAATAAACAACAACAACAACAGAAAAAGAGCCCTCTGGGTCAGAGTCAAAGGACCGTTTATCACTCACGGGCAGAGCAGAAGCCAGAGCAAGGTTTCTGCTTGCACAGCACACCCAGCCCCGATTATGCAGCACGACAGGAGAAGGGCCAGGGGTCACCTACACGGGCAGAGATGTGACTCAGGCAGGGACTCTGCAGATGAGGAGGTCCCTGGTTTTCAGCTAAGATACCTACAGCACACCCATCCACCTCTCTGCACAGTGCATTAACTACTCTGCACTGTAAATTTCTTCCAGGAAGAGGCACCTCTATCTTTGCCTGTTGGGATATTCAAAACCCTAAGCTGACTGCTTTCAATGCTTACACCTGCAGAAATATGACAGATTCATGAGGACTTGTTTGCCAACAGCTGGTAAAAAAAAAAAAAAAAAAAACTGGAATACAAACAAAACTAATAACCGTAGTAATGGTCATAATCTATGAACACATGCTACGTGACATTTCACTTGGTGCTCCCTGCGGGTTTGGAAAGCTCTATGTGCTTCTGTCCATTGTAAAGGAAAGCAGCTGGGATTTGTAAGCCTTAGGCAACTCGTAGGCGGTCACATAACTAGTAGTGTCAAAGGCTGCACCTTGTTACTGCAAAATTCTGTGCTGAACAGGCAGGTACGTGTGTGAGGAGGGAACACGCCATTCATCCAGAGAGAGCCTGGCCAATAACGCGGCGGAGGAGGAAAGTGCGGAGGGTCCGCACAGGCCCGCACGGGTTGGTTCCCTTGTGCACGTACTATGGGAAGCGAAGACCTTCAGGACGCTTAGGACATCATATTTGAGGTTACGTTTCGTTATTTGGATGTGTCAGCACAGACTTGCTTCCCACAGAGGGCTGTACCCCAATCGACAGCCTGTATTTCAGGGGGCGGGCTGCTCCACAGTGCACCAATTCCAGGGACTCACGCACTGCGCAACCGGGGTTCTCTCACTGAGAAACCTTCCCAGGCCTTTTAATTTTGGGATGGGCCTTGCTAAATCGCCCAGGTTGCGTTTGAAGTCCTGATGCTATTGTGTCAGGTGTGTGAGTAGCTGGGACCCCAGTCCTGTGCCACCACGCCCAGCGAGTTCAGTCTTTTTGTACAAATTATGTGTTGGAGAAAGCGTCTCCCTGGCGTAGGGCTCCCCTCTCCCCCGCCACCCTCTGGCCTGGCTGTGGTTCATTCCTCCTTGTCACGCACCTGCATCTATAAAGTGTTACTTAATGGAGTCCTCAGGTGACTACAGTCTGGGCCAATGATAAAAAGTGTCCTTGGAGTATCTGCCCTACAAGCAACTACAAAGATGTGCACAATTATATTCTGATTTTTTTTTTCTGGTGAGAAATCAAAGACAACAATTTATAATGACCACACGCTAGACAAGCCCACCAGAAGAAAACAGACTCTAATGTTCCTAACACTATCATACTCTAGTGTCCAATCGGGTCAGGAGGAGTGTGGCTGCACTGGGACACGAGAAGCCCTTCTTCCACCTTTCATGCTTCGCCCACTGTCAGCGGACACGTCCCTCACAGCCTCCAGGGCTTGCAGCATTTTACTCCTGAAAAGTCAAACCCCTTTCTGGGCTCAGAAACACACACACATAAATACAATGTGACATTACAGATACATTTTGAGGCTTTCCACTCTGAGGATCTCATGCTATTAAATTTGTTTTTTAATAAGAATGGCTAGTTAAAAACAACAAATATAAGTTGCCTTTTCTCTTTAAAAATGCTGCATCAGTATTCTCTTTATTTTTTTTTTGTTTGTTTGTTTTTCTCCGGTACCGGGAACCGAACTCACGACCTTGCGCTTGCCAGGCAGGCGCTTTTGCCGCTGAGCTAAATCCCCAGCCCCAAGTATTCTCTTTAAATATATCAATTTCAGGTAGTTTATACTCTAAAGAAAGCATGGTAGGTAATAAAGATGTAATGTTTCTTATAAATTGTGAATAGAGTTGACACACGCTACTACAAAAATGTAAAGGAGAATGATGTTTGATACAAGTAAAAGATGCATGGTAAAGAATGTGAATATAATGATTTGGCAAAAACAAAGAGAAATACTTCTGTAAAGTATACATTTATTATTACCTTTTAAAGGAGGATATTATTTGTGCTTTGGTAAAGGAACTCTTTAAAGAAATTTGCTGTGTTTGGCTTGAGACAACATGTGTGAATTGGGTCATTCTTACACTTACAGATAAGGGCCTACACACTGTATAAGGGACACAGTTTTTACTTATGTTTAGTATTTGTTCACATTCTTTACCCTGCATCTTTTACTGGGCTGGGGGAGGATAAATGAGCAAGCTGTGGTATATACAGGTACTAACCCACTAAGACAGTTAGAATTGCAATATATGTAGAATTCCAAACATACACTACAGATAAAATGAAATGAAAGAAGAAAATAAATTCTGATTTGGTTTTATCTGGAAGCCCACCATCCTGGTGAACCACGTTTCTCTGTTTGACTTTTAAGCACTGCCACTGGCCCGCAACGCTAAGAATCACTGATTAGACACAGTGGACTGGCCAGCTCCGCAGGGCTGGCGTCCACAGCTTCTGCTTCCCTCTTCCTCTGTGGCCACAGTCCGCCCTTCCCACCCGCGTGGAAGGCGGCTGCCGCACATCTGGGCAAGATGGTTTTGAAGTGAGCGTTTGCTGTGGCTTCCAGAATTCATCGGCAGGATGAAGTTCCCTAAATCTAACTTGGATCCTGTGTCTGGCTTCCGCTTCCCCTGCCTCACTCCCTGCAGTGACTGAGCGGTGTCTCCCATGTTCACCTCCCAGGTAAACCACGCACTCTGATCCACAATCCAGGTTTGGTCTGGAGGAAGCCAGAAGAAGACATGAAGACAGGCTGCTTTTGTATAAATTTAATGAGACATGCCAAATTTGCCATAACTTGTGTGTAAGCTTTTCTCTTTGCTAACCAAGGACAATATTTTGGTAGCAATCATCCCAATGCCTTTATAATTTACAGGTTCATATACAAGTGAGGCTAAATTGCATTCTTCTGAAATAAGTGGCAAGGTACACATGGGATCAGACTGTGAAATCAAACTAAGATAAATCAGAGATCTTACACAGCATCAAACTTTACTAAGTAATGCCAAGGATAACAACGAACTAAGGGGTTCCTAAGGTTTACAGGAAGCAGACAGCATTCTGGCGTGGAAGATGGGCAGCTCCCCAGCTGTGTTCTTCCTGTGTTGGTCACATCCCTCTGGCCCCATGAAATGAATTCACATGAGTTTCACACGGTTTCTAATGAGTTTCTTTAGGCTATAAAATATCTCCAGTTTATTCTGCCAGAGAATCATATCACCTGTGAGGAATTTTCTAGTCTCCTATATCATAGACAATGGGTTCTCTTTACTATAGTTAGCCTTATCCTGAAATAGCCCTCTGAACATACTTTAGAGAAACCCTTAGCAAAACATCCTTAACTCGCTACCTGGAGCTTCAGCACACAAGTGATTACATCAGGTCCCTGCCTCCCCTTTGCCCTCCTCTCCAGGCAAAGGAGAAAAACCTATCCCAGACCACATTTAACTCCTTCCTTCCAAGTGATTTCAGAGACAGACATTCTCTAACGTTCAAAACAAAGTACCCTCACCACCATTTCCTTCTTCTCCACCACACCTCATGAAGATAACCACTTCTGCGTGCCGTGACACCCACCGGAAAATGGCCAAGAAACACTTTGCCTAAGTGCAGTGACATGAAATGAGATGTGGTGACATCCACTTGTGTTTTCATTTGGTTCAGAGTTTAGTATTTCCTAGGTAGGAGTAAGAAACATAAAACGGTTCTGAGCTCATTCAATTGCCTATTGGTTCTTGTGTTACTGAAAAAAAAGGCTCTTGAAAAAAATAACGCATGATGGCTCTTTATCCAGGGTGGAAGTGAGCTTTACAGTGAGTAGAAAATTGCCTTCAAAATCTGGCAAGACGAGCTCCTTTGGAGCCCCAAAGGTATCCACAAGGGTAAGGGCTCACTTTACTATTTGGGCTCCTCGAGGGAAGGAGAATACGAATGCTTTTCACTTGTGTTCTTTATTTCCATTACTCTCTGCAAGGGTAACCACTCTGGAACTGAAGACAGATGTTGGCATGGAAGGGTGGGAAGAGCAGCTAAGAGAGGACGGCTCAGCAAGGCAGCCCTACGGGAGCATCCACGATCCCTCTGAACACAATAAACACATGAAGTATCTAAAGTCAGGGGCAATTCAGGAAAGCGCAATTGTCTCATACTCACTGAAGCCACGTTTACAAAGTCATCATCTGAGAGAGTTTCTAGCATTTCAGAGACAGACGTTCGGATCAGCTTAAGCGTCAGGCCGCTGACACTGCCACTCCTGTGAAGAGAGAAATTCTGCACATTACTCACCATTATTTAGTCAACCACACCTGAAGCAAGCTAACATATGTACTGATTCTGGACTACCTATGTCATACTCAGTTAACAAAGTTATCCTAAGTAATCAACAGAAAAAGTCAATAGAAAAACTCAGATCTTTTGGCATAGTGGAAAATCATAAGAAATTTTGCTTTCTTTCCTACCAATATCAGGATGTATTTCTTAATGAAATATTAACATTATATGGTAAGTGGCAATTTTTAAAAATTTACGGATGGATACTCGTGGCATAGTCACTCATCCAGGAAGATACCAGCTCTGGAGGCCGGGTTAGAAGTGAGCAGAGGGGGAAGCAGAGTCCTTGTTCCGAGGAGCCTTCTGCTGACTGGATTACGCCAGCAGTCATAAAGCCACACAGCAACCGTGGTGATAGATTTGGGGCCACAGCTTCCCTTCCCCACCAGACAGCAGTTCACCTCCAGGATTTCGTGTTCGGTTTTCTCGCCTGAGGTGGCTGTGCCCTCTGTGAGCCCTCCCCACAGGGCTCATCTCCAGGCAAGGAGCGCCATTCCCACCCCACGTGCATCTGAACTTGAACCAAGGGCCAAGGTAAAAATTCCACAGATTGTTGCTCTTGTACATGAACACGTCCTCCAAAAAAGTCCAGATACAAATATTTCATATACTTAGTATTTATTTTGTGGACAGACCCCTAAAAGCGATTGAATTGTTAATTACTGAGTGCCAATTAAGTGTGTTTTTTGTTTTGTTTTGTTTTGCTTTTTGTTGTATCAGGAACTGCTTGGTTTTAGCAACTCTGTACTTTAATACTGTCCTCAACATAAAGCAAACATTGGAAGCCAATAAATAATTCTTCAACATGCTCTGGTTTCAGAACAATGCCGTCATTTTCCACTGTGGTTCAGATATAAACGTGAGTCTCCTCATTTCAATAAAATAGTTTCTGCTGATGTTGTTGCTGTCTTAATATGGTGTCTCTGTCTGGAATAAAAATATCGTAACTATTGATTTTTTTAACCGATCATATGCTTCTTCAGCCTGACCTACGAGTGCTCCCTCAGATCCGCTCATGCTCCCACCCTACGAACGCGAACACTACTCACACGTCCACCAGAATGAGCATGTCCTTGGGAGATGCTGCTCCCTGGATATACCTGAAACAAATAACAACACGCGTATGTCCTCTCTTGCAATCCATCAAACATCAGCACGGTACCACTGGCATTCACAGACCACTGAGGTAAGTTATTGCTAAGCTCAGACCCAGTGCTATTCCGTCCCAGCAGAAAATGGTTTGATTCACATTCTGCAGTGTCAGCTTCAAAAGGCTCTATCAGACACAACACAGGAGAGCCCAAAGACGTGATATTTAAAGTATATTTCCCAGGTATGTATAACAAAAGATGGAGATTAATGTGAATATTAAGGGAAATTAACTCATCGAAGGACATTCTTTTTCCTGAGAAAAAATTGTTATACAGCTGAAATGATAGGAAATGTTGTATTATCCTGAACTTAATCATTAACCACGTATTTTATGTCATCTAATAAAAAGAGACTGTCATACTATTGAAGACAAAAAATAAAAACAAAAAATAGGTGGTTTAGGCACTTTTAAAAAGTGGTTTAGGACTGGGCATAGTAGCACATGCCTATAATCCCAGCACTTGGGAGGCTGAGGCAGGAGGATTGCTGTGAATTCAAGGCCAGGCTGAGCTACATAAGAAGTCCCTGAATAAAAAAAACAAAAATAAAGTAAATAAATAAAAGAACCTAAAAAGAGTAACATCAATTGAAAAATAAATACAATAGGCCAATAAAGTAACTAAAAATTGTGTAGCAGGCAATGGTATTACCAAGCATTTGAGCGGGGGTTCTCAAAATTTTACCATGTCCAACCAAGAACCAGCTGGCAAACCAGCTCAAAAGGTTGCTTCTCAATCTCAGCCAGAGCCCCACAAATCAGAATCACGGCAAGGCAACTCCAGGAGTTGTACACAGATGGTTCCCGGGCTGTGGGAAAAACTGAACTTCGGTGACCGGAAATGCTCAGGCTGCTGGTCACAGACCGACAGGATGCAGCGGGTCTGCTCCCCAGGGGGGCGCTGAGCTGAGCCCAACTCTCTGCTCTTGTCCAGACCTCCTGCCCATGGCTCCAAACCCAGGTCTCAGGAGCCTGCCGGGTCACTTGCCTGGTGCCTTTTAGAGGGCTGCGGCACGGGGGCCTGCCCAGCTCTCCTCATCCACAAAGTGGTGGAGTTCACACCTGACCCCGGCTTGTTTCTCCATGGAGGTCACGGGCAGCGTGGCAGGGAACGCTCTGGAATACGGCCTCATTCGCCCTAGCACTGCCTCTGTGTGTCCTGGTGTGCTGCTCTATAGGAAGAGAAAAGCACAGCACCCACCTGCTTCTCATGGTGGAATTCTAGCTTCTACGTTTCTCCCCACATGGTCAACTTCTAACCCAAAGCATGTGACCACTTGCTTTGGCTCCAATCAGCAACCTCCACAGGGACTCGCTGGAGAAACGCTGCCACAGGAGGGCTCACGCTGACAACAGCCGCTTTGCTGGTGTCACGGAAGTTGCTCCTGGGACCCTTAGGAGGGCGTTTAACAGCCTCACGTATCTGTCCTTTGAATCAACAGTGTGCTTCTAGAATCTGCCTGAACCCCAACAGAAGGTTCAGAATAACCTAAATATCCAATATTAGGGGATTTCTTTTAAAAATTACCATACAGTGTACTTCTAAATGACGCAAAGGGTCTCTGGTCATGAATATGAACACAGAGGTACTGCTAAGAAAAGGGGAAAGTGTAAAACACTGTGTTGTGCCTCAAGTGAAACATCAAGAAAGAAATGCTTATACATTCACTATTAGTAATGAAATGTGCCCAAATCAATAATCATTTCCAACTGAGCCCAAGTATGGCCTATTGGTATTTTTCAAGCTTTGTGTTAGGAGAATGAGTTGCTTACACTGTGGGGAAGTAGAAATTCTTTAGGAACAAACACATCCTAAATTGGACAAGTATAACCAAGGGCAGCTCCTACCTCGGGGTCAGCTTGCACTAGTTCACAGCAAGAGGCAAACTCTGACCTAGACTGTGTCATCCCTCTGCCAGTCTATAGCAAGCAAACCCTCAGCCCTCAAAACCCCACAGCTCCAGGAGTGAGAGCAGTGAGAGGGCACAACGCTGAGCATGGTCCATCGGAAATGAACTGGGTCCACCACTGCAACCGTATCCACCACGCCCCCACTTGAACTCCTTCTTGTCCTCCACTGTCATGGTTTGTGTATGGATGTCCCCCAAAGCCCCGTGCAGTCATGGGGCAGGCTTCTAGAGTTTGTGATTGACCCATGGTCCAATGCTGGGGTTATGGGTGTGAGTGCTACACCTGCCCTGGGGCAGTTAGTTTGCATACAGTGTAAGGGAGGGAAGAGGCTGCCTGCTGCTCTCCCCTTGTGCTCTTGTTGCTTTTGCTGTCTTCTGCTGCCATGAACTGTAGCCCTCTGCCATGTGCCACTCTGCCTTGGAGCCAGCCGAGTATGGCCTGAAACCTCCACAAACTATGAGCTAAATAAACTTTTCCTTCCTTGATTCTGGGTGTTAAGTATTTTGTCTCAGCACCAAGAAAAAAGTAACCAAGACATTTACCTTAGTTATATTTATTTTTAAAAGCATGAGCATTCTATATAATTAGATAATACTCATCCGAATAATGGGAAGATTCCTGCTACTATTTTAAAAAGTTATGACCTCCTTTGGTCTATCACATTTTTTTTATAGGCAGCTAAAAATCCTTACCATGGTCTCCGGCGTACGTCATAAAGGTCAATCTTGTTTGGAGTTCGACTATTATCCACCCATGGAGAAGCTACAGAAAAGCACAGAAATCAAATAGAAACATTAGAGATGCCCTACAAAAGTATTATACAACTGGAGAAAGCACAGAATGCCTCACGACAAAGCTCCATTTATTTCCCCCGGGGCTCAAAGGGGAGGCCCAGCTTTTCTCCCCTCACTGTTGTCTTTTCCAGAGTGGACAGGAACACAGCGCTATGAGACAAAAGCAGCCCCCCTCAGGCCGTTCCTGTGTGAGATCGCTTCGCATGCAGGAGGCTCTGGCTGCTGTCTGACCAGGTGACGCTGGCGTATGGCAGTCACCCCCCAGAAAATATGTGCGGCGCTACTGGAAATTTTGCCTTCCATGGAATGATTCCTATACTTTCATTCACTGTAATTCTGTCTCTATCTATATAAGATGATTTTTATAACCTTGTTGGCATAAAATAGTGTGATCTGTTAACTTTCACATTCATATATTTGATAATGGCAAAGCCATGTGGAAAGTGTAATTAAGAGGTTGAACTCTAACTAAAATAACTACATCAAAACTGTTTTCTTTAAATTTATTTGAAGGATGTTAGCTAAGCTAAATACAGTCAATGAGCTGGTTTCATTTTATAGCCTTTAGATTTTAATGATAATCAGAAGAAACTTCTCAGTCTAGTTGTACTGATTTTTAAAAGAAATTAATTTATACTTATTCTAATTTAATTTCCACTTATTTAACTAAAATGCTTCATAAAGCTATACGTGCGCACAACCTTAGAACTCATTGAGAAAAATAAATACTAATGAATTAGATGATGACTTCATGTTGGAGAAGTCTCTCTTCTTGAACTGTTTAGACATGACTCGTAGGAATACTGTTAATTCACAAGGCTTATGCAACACTATTTTTCCCTTTTCTTTATTGAGAAACTATGGAAATTATGGAGAATTTTACAGAGAGTCAGATTTATTAGCCAACTAAGATAATCTGGCCAATTAGAATATGTCAGAAAATATATACAAATCCCTCCTTGGCTGTGAAATTTCCTTCCTATTAGTGGTAATGTAGTAAGATGATTTATTCATTGTAAATGACAAATCACATTTACATGAAACAGCACATTTAAAGATAGCACTCCCCCAAGATGTAATTACTGACACAGACGATGTAACTGATGCAGTAAATTTATTTTATTTTAAGTCTTTCAATTTGCATTTGCAGAAACTAAGTGCCAGTAATATAGAATACTTCTCCCTTTGTGACCCTGGGATTATGCAATACACAAGATGGCAGTCTTGTCCGCTCACTTTCCAATACTTCTCGGTAATACCTGACCCCAACTTACTGCCTTAGTGGTTACTAGGAATTTAAAGAGCATGTGTCTCAATTCCAGTGCCAGCGAGGCTGGGTATCCTTTATTCCTCTCAACTTCCAATGTACCCTTTGGTTTGCTCCATGGGAATAGATCAGGGCCTTTGATATGGGCTGGCATGACACCTTCCAGCTCTGCACAGACGGACGGACCCTGAGGGAGAAGAGACTGTCCCAGCTGTGCTTGGTGCTCATAGGCTCGGGCACACTTGCGGCCTTCCTGGCACCTGTGTCCTGCTGTGTGGTAGGGCCCCAGGCTCCCTGTGCTCCAGCAGCCTGGGCAGCTCCCCGGGCCCCCAGGTCAGCAGTAAATCCCAGGCGTGCCTGTGGCAGAGCTTCCAGGGACACCTGGGCCCCAGATGCAGATTCACAGGAGACACCGCCAGCCTGGTGGCACAGCGATCTCTCTGCTTGGTGGGCCACCACCACATTCTCTCCAAGAAGGAATTTGGGTCTCTGGTCAAGGTGCAGGAGGATGAAGGACACCTTCGGGGCCCTCTTAGCCTGAGGGGTCGTTATTATATGCAGGGTTAGATAAGATACCAACCTGCTGGTCATGAGGTCTGTAGCGTTCTCTGTAATTCTACTCAGTCCCTCAGTATCCCTGTCACTAGGATACTCAATCATTCTTCATTTAAAAATAAACTTTTGCCAGATGTGGTGGCACACACCTGTAATCCCAGCACTTGGGAGGCTGAGGCAGGAGGATCATTGTGATTTCAAGGCCAGCCGGGGCTACAAAGTGAGCTCAAGGCGAGCCTGAACTGCATAGCGAGACCCTGTCTCAAAAAGACAAAAAATAAAAAATAAAAATAAACTTTCCCTGCTTTAAAATACTGTGTTTCCTCTTCCCAGGCTGGACTGAGACTAATACCTATTACAGTGGGAATGAGAGAGGTTAAGACACCGCCAATCTAGGGGCTGCAGCCAGGAGTGGAGAAGTAGCCAGCAACGCACTTGATGGGTGACTTAATGAGAGTGGAACCTGGAAGTTATTGTTCCTACAGCGCGTTCACCTAGTACTTCTGTTCTCACTGCTCCAACTACTAAGTGAAAGCAACTGGCCGGAATTACTGCACTCCGTAAAATGGATATTTTTCTTTGAAGACGAAAGGCTTAAAAGTATAATTTATATTATGAGCCACATCATTAAAATTTAATATAATGTACAATCTTAGGTGGTTTATATTTAAAAATATTAATACTCTTTTATGAGGTTTCTGAGGTATTTGCTTTTAAGTAATAGCCCATGATTAGACTAAATTAAGGTATTTCTATTGTGGTAAAATATAATTTCTATTGTGATGTTACTAATTAACATTTAAAATCCCACTGTGATATTTAAGTGGTATGTTATTTAGGTAAGCTCAGAATTATGGCAGGTCAAATAGTAAAACAGGTAATACGCACACAAAGCAATTCCCTGAAATAATCAGCTTCATACTCATGCACAGTGAAACTACAGCCACGAAACAAAATCACAGCCCCGCGAATCCCCTAGCAAAGCAAAGTGTTGTTCATTTCCGATGTCCTGGCTTTCCAGGAAGACTTGGGGGTGCTGGGAGAGGACCAGAAACAGTCCACACTGCAGACATCTCACGTCTGAATCCTATCATTAAAGGTGATCTTGATAAATTGAGGATGCTTTTCCCGAGCAAAAATAAGCTGGAGATGTATCAGTTATTAAATCTTCTGGGCTACTGCTCCGGCTCACACAGCACCAAAGGTGTGCTAGGGCAGCGAGCCAACCACCGCTCACTCACGTGCTCACCTGACCGACCACTACCTCAGAGAACCTGAGAAAATACAGATTTTAGTGCCGTTTTATAGGTCAGCAGTCCAAAATTAACAGGCAAGTGTCTCACTTTCGGTCTTAGGAAGCAGTGAAGCAAACACTGACATACTGAGCAACACTCCCCTCCTAGACTCCTTTACAGGGTGATACCGATTATATTGTTCATTGATAAATTTCTACACATTTCCTTTTTAAAATTACATTCATTGTACAATTTAGACATGCATTCGTGATCACATTCATCACAGGGAATTTGTACCTCTTTTTTTTCCCATTCCTCTTCCCTATTTTCAAGTCCTCTTCCCCTCCTGTTTTAGAAAGCTTTGTTTCCATTTTATTCTTTTTTTCTCATTTTTTTCCTTTCCCATCCATCTTCCCTATTCAGCATTCCTACTTCACAATATCCATTACACATTTTGGTTCTTATTTACACTTTCAGTTTCTCACACCAGAGAGACAGTGTGATATTGACACATATGTGTCCAATTTATTTCACTTAGTATGGTTTCAGGGTCCTTCCATTTAGTATAAATGTCTCAAGTTTATCCTTCTTTATGGCTGAGTAGTACTTCATTGTATAAAAAATCTTTTTTATCCATTCATTAATGGATGGGCATTTGGGTTGTTTCTAAAATTTACTATTAGAGACTGTGCTACTATAAACATGGGTGTGAATATATCACTGTGGTCTAATGCTTTTAATTCTTTTGGGAGGATACCAAGAAAGGGAATGGCTGGGTCAAATGGAATCTCTAACTCTAGTTTTTTGAGAAATCTCCACACTGATTTCCACAGTGGTTGCACCAGTCTACACTCCCACCAGCAGTGCAGAAGGGTTTCTTTTCCCTCAAAGGTCTGGTAGCATTTGTTATTGGTTGATTTCTTGACAACAGCCACTCTCTCTGCAGGGAGATGGAATCTCAGTGCTATTTTCACTTGCATCACTCAAATGACCAGTGATGTTGAATATTTTTTCATGTATTTATTTGCCATTTGTACTTCTTCTGAGAAGTGTGTATTGATCCTAGATGCCCTTTTTGGATTGGGTCTTTAAATCTGGGGTGGGGGGGGTCTGAATTTTTGCAATTCTTTATATGTTCTAGATAGAAGTCCTTTGTCTGAAGAACAACTGGCTAAAAAGTTTTCCCACACTGTGGGTTGTCTCTTCACTCTGTTGGTGATTTCTTCTGCTGTACCGAAGCTTTTTAATAAGATCAGGTCCTCGTTGTTTCTTTGTAGTATCGTGCATATATTTCTAATTTTGAAAGACATCACATTTTTATCTCATTTAAATAAAAAAGGTACATTTAATATGCTGAAAAATGCACATTCAATGTGAGTTTTGGTCCCTTTGCCTTGCTCTCATTGGAGGACGATTATTTTAGTTTTGTGCCAGTTGTCTCCGAGAGAACATTAGTCACGCTCTGAATTGCAAGGCAAGCCAAAAATCTGGACTGGTTCTAAGCAAAAATTAACTCACTGAATATGTATTCCACAGCTTAAGTAACTTCTAGGAATGTGAGAGCTGCTACCGAACTTTACCATCCTAGAAAGACTCTCCCCATCTGGACCCTCATCTAGGTTGGGGAATAGGAGTCTCCTTAAATGAGTGCAAATTATGTACCCATCCTGAGGAGCCAGCGAGTCTGGGAAAGACAGCGGCTGACTTCTTCAGATCTTGAGTGTCTTGGAAATGCTCAAAATGTACAAAGATGATTCTGTTATCTGAGGTGATGCAAAATCCTTTAGAGGATGATCTCAAACACTCCATGCCTTAGGACAGGAGAGTTACTTCTCCCTCATCTAAGGGGATCTAACAGGCCACAGCTGCATGTGGAGAGTCTCTCTGCTCCCAGCGGGCATGCAGAGATCT